CCAGCGCCGAGAGATGATGGAGTCGCTTGTTCGATGCATCCAATCAGGGAGCCACTGGGGATCGTTCTTCGACGGCCTCCCTGCAGAATCCGTGCTGTAGTCCGCAATGCGCACGTCGCACGGGCCAATGGGGAGGACGTAAATCGGATGCATGACGCGTGTGCCCTCCACAAGGCCTCCGAACAGGGCGGGTCCAGCCCTGAGCAGCACCCCCATCGGGCAGGTGTAGCTGGCTCCGCAACTGCGGCCAAATGCTTGGAGCTGCTCAGGCGGGATGTCAAACAGGCCGCACAAGAACCGCACATCATTTTATGGATGGAAGCAACCGCGTCCTTGAAGAAACTTGGATGCCACGCTGTTTGTTCTGATTGCGTGATCTTCTGTTGGAGACGTTCGGTGACTGCGTGTCTGGACACGACGGCAAACCGGATCACCGCGGCAGGATTCATGTCGGAGCCCTTCAGGCGAAAGCGCAGGATCGTGACGGCGTGGGTGGCCCCAACAACATGACCCGCAACTGCGGTCTCTGCGATGATGTGCGGGCGCACGAGCACCACGCCCGCGTCTCTGAACAGGCCAACCGTCGTCCAGTAAGGCTCCGCGGTGTTGTTTTTCAAAGTGACAGCGTCTTCGACGGCAGTCCTGAGTCCAACGGGAACGTCGTAGCTGCAAGCGCCTTCGACGTTCCCCGTGCGGAACAGCTCGGGGTCCCATGCGACGAAGACGACCGCCGCAGTTTGGTGCAAGATGCATCTGAAGACATCTTCCTTTGTTGCCACCTCCGTGATGACCACCACGTTGAACACCAAAGCGATGGTGGACGGAACCCGATTGCCGTCTGCTGTACGAAGGAATCCTTCGTTCCACTTGGGGCGTTCCCCAACGTAGTTTATCCCTGGAGGGGACCTGGCCCGCTGCTTCTTCCGCGGTGCTCCCGCATCTTCCCGCAACTGCGGTTCCGACGGAGGCCCCGCGCGACCCCTCGACTGCGGTTCTGACAGCGGCGAGCCTTCCGTGGGAGGCGGCCTTTTCCTCGGCCGCGAATCGGCCGAGGCGATTGTCTCGGCGGCTTTCTCCTGGGAGGCGGCCTCGTCTTCGGGTTGGGCGCCTCGTTTGTACTCGGCTGCGAGCAGCACGGCCGAGGGCGCGCTGCACCCAGATGAGCCGCGCGCGGCACCTGGCTCGCCGGCCACCCCCGCAACTGCGGTCTCGGTGGCGGCTCCCGTCACTGCTGGTTGGTCCTGCTGCTTCGTCGGCGTCTGCGCCCGAGGCCCCCATTTTGCCGGGGGGGTCAAGTGCGCCCTGCGCAACTGCGCCTCTTCGCGCCTCCCACCAGCAGAGCTCCCACTCGCAGCGCTTATCGGCGGCGGCGGCCGATATTCCCGCGAGGAGCTAGACGACTGCGGGGAGGACTCGCGCGGCGGTCGCTCGGGGCTTCCGCAACTGCGGTCCTCCGTCGGCTCCGCGACTGCGGCATCCGCGGCAGCCCCTTGCAGGCCGAACCTTTCCCGCAGTTGCTGCTTCAGCTCGGCGAACCGCTTGTCGACCTCAGCTTTGCGACCTGGGTCCATGGCGTGGCCGCGCGCGGCCCCCGTCCGACGGGGGAACTGCGGCCGGCTTGGGAGAGGAAGGACAACGAGGGAGACGGCGGGGATGAGGACGAGGAAGGCGAAGAGGAGGATGGAGAGGACGCGACGGAAGAGGATGGCGCGAAGAGCACAGACGAGGGTGAAAGGAGCAAGGGGACTGCGACGAGGATGACGGGGCAGAAACGGAGGAGGAGGAATCAACAAAGTCCGCAACTGCGGCCCTCGGGGGGGACTGCGACGAGGACGACGGGAAATGACTCGGCCAACGGAGGCGGGCTATGGCCAACGGAAGGAACTGCGACGAGGAGGAAAGGCGGAGGGAGGAGACTGCGACGAGGACGACGGGGAAGGGGCGACGAGGACGACGAACAACTGCGGATCCCTCTGTTTAAGTACCTGTCTCCGCAACTGCGGCCGCGCTAATTAACGTCACGAGTGCTTCAACGGAGGTGATGCGCGCCCGAAGCACCTAATTACAGCTGTCAGTCGTGGGAGCGCCGCAACTGCGGCCAAGCTGTATGAAGTCGCTAGAAGGCAGCGCCGCAACTGCGGCCGAAAGCGCGCATAGTGAGTCAAACGAGCGCGGCGTCACGCTATCGGTCCCCGCAACTGCGGTTCCATGGCTGCGCAATCCCGCAACTGCGGTGTCAAGGCTGCGCGGACCACCGCGGTTGCAGCTGCGCCCCCTTGCTCGCGTCGAACCGCCCAGGATTCGGATGGGCGTGCAGCATCTTCCAGAACGTGAACGTTCCGTGGCCATCGCTCTTGCCAAGACCTGCCCTCGGGCCCCGCACGGGATGCGAGTGCGGCTCCACCTCATACGTGTTGAACTTCGGGCTAGACCAGGATGGGTGGACGCGAATGCCCGAGCCGTCGTCGCGGATGAGGACGAAATCCCACTGGGGCAGAGGGATTCTTTGCGCCTGTCCTCTGTCCACCCCTTTCGTGTGCCTCATGTTTTCGAGACTGCTAGGGCACGGGCGGCACTCGCAGCGGACCAACCCGCGACTGCGGTCATTGTCAGGGCCGCACACGACGCGCAGCATTGTAGGTCCATCCATCTGCGCGACCATCTCCAGCCAAGACCCCGGCACTTTGACAGTGTGGTCCCAGTCCCAATCCCTGTTGTCCTGCGCCTTCCCCTTTGCGCGGTACTTAAGGATCTTCGAAATTTCCTCCGCAACTGCGGTACCTCCGAAGACGGGCGTGCGGCTGCCGAAAGGGTTTACTCGGTCTTCGTACTCGTCTCGGAACCACTTCAAGGCCGCGTTGTGCTGCTTATAATTGCCGTTCCAGTTCGCCCTGAAGTTCTCGAAGAATTCCAACTTGAAAATTGGCAGCGGCTCATTGCGCACAATTTGAAACAGCGCAACTGCGCATTGTTCTTCGCGCCCTGGGGGAAGCAGGGGACCGCCTCCTTTGCCCGCCGCTGTTGCGGCCGCGGGCTCCGCGGCAGGAGAACCTGCCGAGGCACTCGAGCGGCACCTTCCCATGCATTCCACCAGCCACCCTCGTCGTCCCACCAGCGGGCGCCCTCCATTCCCCAACCCTCGCATCCGTTGCCGCCCCATCCGCCGCCCTCCCAACCGCGACTGCGGTCACTTCCGTCGCCGCCATCCTGCGCTTTTCCTCTCCATCCGCCAAGAGAATCTCCGCCGCCCCATCCGCCACTGCGGTCACCTCCGCCGCCGTATCCGCCACTGCGGCCGCCCCAACCCCCACTTGTTCCCCAACCGCCGCCGCTGCTCTTTGAAGAATCCGCAACTGCTGCCCGTGTTTCCTCTTCCGCTTTGTCATCCCACCCTGCACGCATCTCTGCCCCGACTGCCGGCCGCGGAGGCGGGCGCGAGCCCGCCCAACCGCCGTGAAACCTACCGTCGGCGCGGGCTTGAGCCGAACGTGCATGGAGGAGGAGGATGAGGAGGAGGAGGGTGAATGTGAGGAGGATGATGCGTTCCTGGGAGGTGTGCCTTCGCGTGCAACACAAGAGCCCCGAGAATTCCTGAGGCCCCTCCAACAGCCAAGGACGCGGATGACAAGAAAGTCGAGAAGATTGGGAACCGATTGAGGATTAAGAGGCGTGCGACGAAAGGGATGATGATGACGAAGAGGAAGATCAGTGAAGGGGAGGAGCGGACAGGAATTATGGAGGAGTGATAGCAGAGGAGGAAGAGGGGGAAGGGGGAGGAGGAGGAAGAGGAGGAGGAGGGAGAGGAAAAGGGGGAGGAGGAGGAGGAGGAAGAAGGTGAGGAGGAGGAGGAGGAGGAGGAGGAGGAAGAGGAGGAAGAGGAGGAGGAGGAGGAAGAGGAGGAGGACGACGACGACGAGGAGGAGGAGGAGGAGGAGAGGGAGAAGGAGAACGGGGACAGGAGGACCAGGACGGAGAAATATAACAAATGAGGGGGAGGAGGCGGAGGAGGAGGAGGACGAGGAGGAGAAGCAGGAAGAGGAGGAGGAGAGGGGGGAGGAAGAGTGCGCGTGAGACTGGGAGAACGAGGTAATTAATTAGAGAGGGAACGGGGGAGGAGGGAGGACAAGGAAGAGCATACAGCGACGAGAAGTGGAGAAGGAACAGACGAAGGCTCCTGCTGATCGCATTTCCGCATCGTTCAAAGCAGTGCCGGGGCACTGCTTTGAACGACTGGTGATGTTCAAAGCAGTTCCCCGGCACTGTGTTCCATCGTCGCCGTTATAAGGGCTATCGGATTACTCATCATCATCGTCATCATCATCAGCATCATCATCAGCATCATACTCATCATCATCATTGCGCCAACATCGTCGGCACCATCATCACCATCATCATCATCATCATCAGCAGCAGCAGCAGCAGCAGCAGCGGCATCATCGTCACCATCACCATCACGATCACATTCACCATCACCCTCACAATCAGCATCAGCATCATCATCAAAACTAGCATCGGCAGCATCATCATCATCACCACCATCGTCATCGTCATCGTCATCATGATCATCATCATCAGCGGCATCATCGTCATCACCAACATCATCAACAGCATCATCACCATCGTCATCATCGCAACCGCCTGCATCATCACCAACATCACCAGCATCATCATTATCACAACTACCATCATCGTCACCATCACCAACACCATCAGCAACATCATCACCACCGTAGTCACGGTCAACTCAAACATCATCAGCACCAGCATCCGCAGCATGAGCATGCTGTCATCATTATCAGCAGCAGCCTCATCATCATCGCCAGCACCAGTACCAGCATCACCAGCGTACCAGTACTACCATCACCAACGTCATCATAATTATCCGCATCACCGCCACAACCATCAAAGTGAGCAACATCAACATCAACACCAACAGCATCACTACCACCACTTCCCCCCCACTTGCACCTCCGCGGCCGGCCCCCGCGAGCCGCGCCGGCCTGCTCCAGCGAGGTCAGGTCGCGCTCCCAGAGCTGCGCCGTGGTCGTCCCGCGCAGCTCCTCTGGGCGATGGAGACAGGAGAAGGTCAATGATAGGGAGCAAGAGGAGTAGAAGGAGGAGGAGGAGGAGGAGGAGGATAATTAGGAAGGAGGAGGAGGAGGAGTACGTAAAATGAGGGGGGAAAGAAGAAGGAGGAGGAGGAGGAGGAGGGGGAGGAAGAGGAGGATGCGGAGGAGGAGGAGGATAAGAAGGAGGACGGGGAGGAGGTAAAGGGGGGAGATTGGGAGGATGCAGAGGAGGACGGGAGCAGGAGAGCCGTTGCCCGACTCGGGGCTTGGCCCCCCGCCGGGCCCGCGAATCAGGGGCGGGGGGTCACGCAGCGGGCGACAAGCTAGGCGCGCCAACCTCCACAAGGGAGGTACGCCGGCATCACAGACTTCTCCTTGGAAGCCCTCTTTAGCCATTCCAGGGGTCTTCACTTTTACACCTTGTTGATGGCTTTCTTGCATGCGTTTCCTTCTCGTTCTTGCACGCGCCCTCCGCATGTTGATCAACATTGGTCGACAACAGTGAGAAGATTGGGATACGTAGCTCGTACTCACAGGACAACAGTACAAACACTGGATGTCATAATACTGTGGCGAAGAGCCACAGCGGATCAATCAGGCGTGCACGCACGAAAGCTTGATCCGCCACCGTTCCTGCAGCACGTAGTGGAGTGCCGCAAGGCTCATGCAGCCCTGAGATGTTCAGAGTTGTAGGGTTTTACAAAAAGGTTTAAGGACCCGGCACAGCGGTTCCACACAGATTTCTGGGGATTTCCTGGGATCGCCAAGAATTCCCCCAGTAGCGCAAGCTGCCAAACATGGGCCCCAAGAGCGCCCAAGAGGGCCGAAGATGCCTCCGAGAAAGTCCCAGAAGTGCCCCAGTACGCCCAAGATGGCCTCGGCACGGCCCAAGAGGCCCCAAAGATGTCCCGAGAATGTTCCAAGAGGCGTCCCAAGCGGGCCCTCCGCCAACCATCTCTCTCCTCCTCCGCCGCCTCCTCCGCCTCCTCGTTTTTCCCCTCGTCCCCTTCAAGGTTCCCTGCTGGTCGGCCGTCCTCCACATGCTCCCCGCCTCGTCCTCTCCCCCCTCTCGCCCTCCTCACCCCCGCCCCTCGGCGCGCCACTGTCCTGGCCATGGGGCCGACCCCGACGTGACCTCTCCCCACTGATCGCCGATCCCTCCCCTCTGCCTGGGGGGAACACTCGGCAGAGGGCACACAACGGGCACTCACGCCTTGCGCGCGCCCCGTCCTCCAGCGCGGCCAGCTTCGCGTGGAACTGCCTCACCAGCTCCGCCAGGCGCTCCTCGCCAGCGGGCCCTCTCCTCTCTCCTCCCCCCCCGCGCTCCCGGCGCGGCGGAGCGGGCTTGGCGCCCTCCACGACAGCGTTTTCGACCGACCCTGCTGCTGCAGCGACCCCGCTGCCCTGCTCCCCCATGCCACGCGTCGTCGTCTTCCGCCTCTGTCACCCCTCCAGCTCCTCCTCCCCAGCTCTCATCCTCGCCGTCGTCCTCCTCCTCCGCCTCCCCCGCCTCCTCCTCCTCCTCCTCCTCCTCCTCCTCCTCCTCCTTCTCCTCCTCCTCCTCCTACTCCTCCTCATCCTACTCCGCCTCCTCCGCCTCGTCCACGTTGTCCTTCCTCGTCCTCCTCCTCCTCATCCTCCTCCTCGTCCTTCTTCGTCTTGTGCTTCTCCTTCCCCCATCTCCGCCCCTCCTCCCGCGCAGACCCCCGGCGCGCAGCAGCGGCAAGCGTCTTCGATCTGGGGTTCGCTCGGGCGTGTCTCCCTACAGGCGGATTGTGGACGCAGAACCAAGAATAGTCCCACAATATGTTCAAACAATGCTCGAAAAAAATAGCCCCCAAACTTTTTGGGGTTTAACTATGTTTGATTTGTCCTCCTGTGCAGGGACGTGCCCGACCGAAGTATCGGGCCCTTCTTCCTCGTCGCCCTCCTCTCCCTCCCCCCCCCCCCGCGGGGCCAGCTGCGCGGCCGCGCGCGCGCCCCGCCGTGGCCCATTGGAGGGGGCGAAACCACAGCAGGACGAGGACAAACCGGGTGGGGCCAGGATAGACTCGTCCTCCTCGTACTCACTCCTCGTCCTCCTCCTCCTCCTCCGCCTCCTCCTCCTCCTCCTCCTCCTTCTCCTCCCCCTCCTCCCCCTCCCTCCTCCTCCCCCTCCTCCTCCCACTCCCTCCCCCTCCTCCTCCACTCCTCCTCCTCCTCCTCCTCCTCCTCCTCCTCCTCCTCCTTCCTCCTCCTCCTCCTCCTCCTCCTCCTCCCCCTCCTCCCCCTCCTCCCCCTCCTCCTCCTCCTCCTCCTCCCCCTCCTCCCCCTCCTCCCCCTCCTCCTAAGACAAAGCCAGGACACAGCATCGGGTGAGGATACATCGAGAATATCTGAGATCCTGCGGTTCAGAAAGGTGCCTCGGGCGCCGCGGCCTCCTCAGAGCATTCCGGCACGATCTCGGCGCGCTCCGGAAATGATGTGTCCTCGTCCTGGCCCCGTCCGACCACGCCCTCCCCGGGCATGCCGCGTGCTGATGTGGCGAAATGCCGCCCCCCCGAGGAGTCCCCGACCCTTTTGCCGGGGCCGGCGTCCCATCCCGAGTCGGCTGGGAGGCGGCCCCGGGGCCCGGCGAGAGCACGCGGAGGCCCAACACGGCCCAAAAGCTCCCCTCGGGAGTCCTGGTACTCGACGCGGGCGTGTCTCTCTCTCTCTCCCCCCCCTGCTGGGCCAGCCGCTCGGCCGCGCGCGCACCCCCCCGCCGCGGCCCTGCGAGGGCCGCGGTTCGCAGGCTGCGCGGCGCAAGCTGTGCGGAACGACCCAGTGCGGCGCCGTCTACGTATGTGCCGAGAGCTGTGCGGTGTGAGCCGTGCGGGGAGAGCTGACTTGCGCTGTGGCCTGCGCGAGGCGCGAGCTGTATGCTGTGCACGCCGCGTGGCGCCCACGAGGCGCCCGCGAGGCGGGGCACTGGCGCGAGCGTGGCGAAACCTCGGGGCACCCTCCCAGCGCACGGGGCGCCCACGAGCGAGCACGGGTGCGAACGTGGTCCTCCTCCTCCTCTTCTTATTATTAGTTTTCTTCTTCTGATTATTTTTCTTCGTCTTCTTACTATTATGTTTCTTCTTCTTCCTCCTGCTCCTCCTCCTTCTCCTCCTCCTCCTCCTCCTCCTCCTCCTTCTCCTGGTTCTGGCCGACGTGGCCAGAGCCAGGGACACACACCAGAGTGCTCAGACTCTCGGAGGCAAGAGCTCTCGAGCGCAAGTGCGAGTCTGGGGCGTACGATGGGGCGCCGATGTGTGCCAGGCACCTCTCCGCAGAGAGGTCCCCGCTGCGCGGGGAGCCAGGATAAGTGGGGGAGTGTGGGGGGGGAGGGACGGAATGGGGCAGGCGGGAGGGACGGAGTGGCGAGACGAGAGAGATCGGGAAGGAAGGGGAACGTAGAGAGAGGGAGGGAGGCAGGGAGAAGGGGCGCAGGGGTGGGGGAACGGAGGGAGGGAGGAGGGGCGCCGAGAAGGGAAAGGCGGGAGCTGATGGAGCAGGGGAGGGAGGGAGGGAGGGAGGTAAACTTGGGGGGAGGCGGCGGGGAGGGAGGGGTGGCAGGGGCAGGGAGGGAGGGGAGGGAGGGCCGATGGGCCAGACCGAGGGACGGAGGTCAGGAAGCAAGGAGGGACTCAGGAAGGGGACGAGCGCAGCGGCAGCGGGCCCTGTCAGCGCGTCCCCGCGCCGACATGCGGACGGGCCCAGGCGGCCACCCTGCCCGACGGGGTCTCCTCCGTCAGGAGCCACATCTTGGCCCTCAGCAGCCACCCGTAGCCAGACGGGCCGGCCAAGTGAGCCGCCTGTGCGAGTTCCCCCTCCTCCACCGAACCCTCCTCGTCGTCGTATTCGCCCGCGTCGGTCGTCTTCGGTCGTCGGTCGTCTTCGGTCGTCCGTCGTCCGTCGTCCGTCGTCCGTCGTCGTCGTCGTCGTCGTCGTCGTCGTCGTCGTCGTCGTCGTCGTTGACTCGTTCATGATCCCGCTCGAGCTCCTACCTCGCCAGCTCCTGCCGCTGTAGCTCCTGCCTCTCCCATCATCACGCCCCTCCCTCCTCCTCCCTACTCCCTATTGTACTCCTCCCTCCCTCTTCCTTCTCCTCCTCCTCCTCCTCCTCCTCCTCCTTCCTCATCCTCCTCCCTCCTCCTCCTCCTCCTTACGCCTTCTCTTCTTCCTCCTCCTCCTCCTCCTCCTCCTCCTCCTCCTACTCCTCCTCTTCCTCCTTATGTTCATCGCTCCCTTCTGACTCATGTGCCGTTCACCATCCTGCTCTTCTACCTCCACCTCATGCGTCCTCCTCCTGCTTCATCGGTGTCATTCGTCGGCTCATCCATCGTCGGCGTCATCGCCGCCCACGTCGTCATCGCTGTCGTGTACGGGTGGCCTGATAATGCGGCATCGCCATTCCAATGTCTGCTCCGCCCCTGTCCTCGTCCTTGCCTCTCCTCTCCTCTCCTCTCCTCTCCTCTCCTCTCCTCCAATGCCATCGTCTCCTCCTCCTCCTCCTCCTCCTCCTCCTCCTCCTCCTCCTCTATCCTGTATCTCGTCCTGCTCCTCCCACCAATCATCGTTCCCCCTCCCCGTCCTCCGCCTCTCCTCCCCAAACTCCCTCTCTTCTTCGCTCTCCGTGCGCTGCCTTCCTCGTCCTCCGCCATCCTCCACACCTCACGCACAGAGACATGCCAATCCGACATGTCGTCCTTAGAGGCGCGCGTCCTTTGGCTCAAGTTCCAGGCTCGAGCAAGCTTAGCCAGCGAGTTCACACCCAGGGTCGGCAGAGTCCTGGGCGGGCCTTTTTTGTCCCGTGTCACGTACTTCCAGCGAGTACAGCAGGAGAAAAACATTGATCGTAAGCATTGATCGTTGTCATATAACCATCTTGTCGTTTCCCGAGCGGTGTGCCAGGAAAACGCCCGCCACGACGCACACAATGTGAGATTTCTCGGCGCGCGCGTCGCCCCGCGGGGGGGCGCCGAACACATAGTATGAAGATGTTGGGGTGACGCCGATGCTACATAATTGTGATCCTCGCTCTCCCGATCGCTTCCCTCGTCGTCTTTGGTCCTTCTCGCCCTCGTCCCCTGAGATCCGACGTCTCAAACAAATTGAGACGCCGTGGAAAATCGCGCCCGGAACCCTAGACCCCATTTGTCCGCGCCATTTTTCGAGCTGGATCGATCCGTGAGGGTCCCCGGGGCCGAGAAAGAACGAAAACGCCCCGGCTCGAAAAAATCGAGACGCCAAGACCTCAGGGTCGACCGCCGTGTCCTCGCCGTCGCGCGCCTCCTCGACCCAGAGATCTCTGACAAACCAGGCGGCCATGGAGCGCTCCTGGAGCGATCCTGGACGTGCGATGTCTTGATTTGAGCAACTCGGGCTCCATCCTCCTCCTCCTCGTCCTCCTCCTCCTCCTTCACCTCCTCCTCGTCCTGCTCCTGCTCCTCCTCCTCCTCCTCCTCCTCCTCCTCCTGCTCCTCCTCCTCCTCTTCCTGCTCCTCCTCCTCCTCCTCCTCCTCCTGCTCCTCCTCCTCCTCCTCCATCCTCCTGCTCCTGCTCCACCTTCTCCTCCTCCTCCTTCTTCTCCGCCTCCACCTCCTCCTCCTCGTCCTGGACATGCGATGGTTTGATTTGATCAGCACGGGCCCCCTTGAAGCCCCGACCCAATCCACAGGGCCCGTGATACCTCTCGAGTTGTTCTTGACCGCCGCGAGGCGGCGAGGGCGCCAAAAGAGGCCGAAAGCAGACAAGACCCCCTGTCCTAATTTCTCTTGTCGTCGCGGCGGAAGCACTTGGCCCGCCCGAACAGGAGGCAGCCCCGAGCAGGAGGATGCGGACGAGGATGATAATTACGAGGAGGAGGAGGAAGGAGGAGGAGGAGGAGGAGGAGGAGGAGGAGAGAGCAGGAGGATGAGGACGAGGAGGAGTGAGATGATGAATTGGGGGGAAGGAGGAGGAGGAGGAGGAGAGAAGGAGGAGGAAGAGGAGGAAGAGGAGGAGGAGGAGGAGAAGAAGGGAGGAGGAGGAGGAGGAGGAGGAGGAGGATGGCGACGACGATCCTCTCACGGGCGAGGGCCTCCAGAGGACGAAAGCGGCCAAGAGCCTTCCGCCGTGAGTTCTGTCCGCGGCGCGAGCAGGTCACGGACCTCCTTCTGGCCCGAGGCCCGCCCGAGAGAAGTGCCGCCTGCCCCCATCAGGGGCGAGGGCCCGCTGGAAGCAACAAACAACTTGTAAAACCGTCCTGCTCCCTCCTCCTCCTCCTCCTCCTCCTCTCGCCTTTCCTCCTCTCCTCCCCTCCTCGTCCTTTTCCTCCTCTCTCCTCTCCTCCTCCTCCTTCCTCCTCCTTCTCCTCCACCTCCTCTTCCTCCTCCCCTCCTCCTCCTCTCCCTCCTTCCTCCTCCTCACCCATCCACCACCTCCACCTCCTCTTCCTCCTCCCTCCTCCTCCCTCCTCCTTCCTCCTCCCTCCTCCTCTCTCCTCCTCCTCCTCCTCCTCCTCTCTCCTCCTCATCCTCCTCCTCCTCCTCCTCCTCCTCCTCCTCCTCCTCTCCTCCTCCTCCCCCCTCCCCCCCCCTCCCCCTCCCTCCCTCCTTCCCTCCCTCCTTCTCCTTCTCCTTCTCCTCCTGCTCTTCCTCCTCCTCCTCCTCCTCCTCCTCCTCCTCACGCCGTGATTTGCGTTCACGGCGCGAGCATGTCTGTGGCTTCATCCTGGCCCATGGTCCGCCCAGGAGGGATGTCCCCAAACGGATAAAAGACAACGGCGCGGCCATAATGACTCTGAGTCGTCTGAGCCTCGAAAGCTGGGCGCGCGCGCGTCGGCCTGAGAACAATCCGCGGGCTCGACTGTGACTCGCCCCTCCCCCAACGCCACGGCTGGATTCAGCTGGCAATCCTGGACAGAACGCCTCCCCCCCCGATGGGCCACTCGGCTGTGGGGCCATCCGTGAATCACGGTCTCTGGCGGCCGTCCGGGACGACCCTGGTACCCCTGGAGGTTTTCAGCGAGGGGCAGCTCCCAGAAAGCATCCCGAGGCTGGAAAACTTCCACAAACCGACGAACACTTCCGAATACCTCCTCCCACTGCCCCTTCTGTGATCATCCTCTTGTCTCGACCAGTCCTCCTCCGACTGCGTTTGTCGAAGGAGAGGGGCGCGAATTCTGGCCCAAGCTCGTGGGCCACGAAGGAAAAGGGCGCCCAAAGGCGAGAATCGAGGACAACGTTGTCCTCGATTCTGGCCTCTCCTCCTGCTCCTCCTCCTCCTCCTCCTCCTCCTCCTCCTCCTCCTCCTCCTGCTCCGCCTCCTCCTCGGGGGCCCTTCTTCATCCGTCAGATAAGGGGGGGGGGGGGGGGGGGCGAGCGGTCATTCGCTGTCCGTGGGTGCGCGGCTGCAGCGGAATCCCGCTGCGCGGATTCTGCCTACTGCTGCGTGCCGTCGTCGTCCCGCTCGTCCGCCCGCGAGCCCCCAGGCCCCGCCCCGCGCCCCGCCCCGCGGCCCCGCCCCGCGACCCCTCCGCGAGCCGCTCCGCAACCCGCCCGCGGCGCAACCCGCGACCCACCCAGACCACCTCGCGCTGCGACAGAAGTCACGACGGGAGGCGCTTCTTTGGAGGACAGAAACTCCACCCCGAGATTGACCACCCCGACACGCGACTACGTCTAGTAAACGCGCCCAAAGAAGGAAACAAACAGGGCAGGCCTGTTTAGTAAACGCCAATTGTCTGGTCCGGGTGTTAATTCCTCCCTTGATTCTTGTTGCTATGCTCGGCCTCCTGGGGCCCTTGCCGGGCCAGACCGGGGGCGTCAACAGAACGACTCGGGATGAGAAACCGATCCCAGGGAAGGGGTCCAGACGTCTGGGGTTATGTTGCTCCCATCGTACTTGCGGACCACACCCCAGAAACAATTTCGAGCATCCAGAAAAGTATCGAAACAGTGTCGAACCAGTGTCGCCTCCCAGGGCCCGACATGCGAAAACCCACCAGATTGTGTACTTTCGTGGTGTTCGACGTTCCTTCTAGTGATCAAGGCTCACGCAGGTTGGAACATCAGAAGTCTGGGGGTCGACGTTTCTAAAAAATCACGACGTCGGGGGCCTGGGCACACGCGACCCACCCGCGCCGCGGCACACCTCTTCGAAGCACCCACAGTACAATACCCTCACAAACTTCGGCGCCTGCGGCGGGTTCGATGTGAATTAAGGTCGGGCATGTCCCCCTACAGGAGGTGGTCGACGAAAAATGAAAAATTGTCAAAGCATGCGCAAGGCAAATCAGAAATAGTCAACAAATCGTCCCCACAAGCTATTTTATTATTGTTTGAACATTCCTCTTGTAGAGGGACACGTCCGACTGAAATGTGAATGTGTGCTGCGAGAGCAAAATGGGCGCCGGCGGCGGGTTTCCTCGGAGCCTCGCAGACTGCCCACGACCCCGTTGCCCCCACTCTAATCCTCCAGCTGCGGATGCTAGGGTACCGCGGGTTCGTGTCGTGTCGACCCGGACGTTGTTCACTGACGCCGCGGGGACCGTTCAACCTTGAACAATCGGCTTTTCCCGAAGCGTCAGATCGTTCAACATTTAGGTCGGGCATGTCTCCCTACAGGCGGGTTTCGACGAAAAATGAAACATAGTCAAACAACTGCACCAAAATAATCAAAATCAGTCCAAAAATCGTCCCCCGACTATTTTTTTCTGGGTCGTCAGCAGCTCTCAGCGGCCCTGGCGCCCTCTCGAGAACCAAAAACGGACGATTCACTAATCGGCGCGTCAGGGTGGGGGCTGTGTCCATCCCCGAAATGTCTGTTGTTCCTTAGGCCCGCCCGAGAAGGATCCGTGGCTCAAAGAGGGGGTCCCGAGGGATGGGGCCCTGAGGGCGAAGTGCCTCAGGCAATGCAGATCCACCCCTGGGCCCCTTCCTATCCTTGGGGCCTCATCCCTCGGGACCCCATGTTTAGGTCGGGCATGCCCCCCTACCAGGGGATTTTGGACGACAGATCAAAAATAATCAAAACATAAACAAAATAGTAAAAACAAAATCGTCCCAGACTTTTTGTTGTTTTTTTGACGATTCCTACTGTAGGGGTACACGCCCGACTTCACCTCAGATCGGGTGTGTCCTCCTACAGGGGGATTTTGGACGACAACTTAAAGAAATACTGGAATATACTTCAACAATGTTTAAACATGGTCAGAAATCGTTCTCTTACTATTCTTTTACGATGATTGAAGATTCCTCCTGTAGAGGGACACGCCCGACTCAACCCCAAATGTGGAGCACCGAGGGACGCCACCGATTCTAGCCGGGCGCCCAGCCTGAGCACAAGATCGGTGCACGGGCTGCTCCCCCCCTGGGACAGGAAGCCGTGTGCACCGATCCGACGAGGCCCAGGGACACACCAGCAAGTAGACACAGATCCGAGGATCCCCCGTCTGTTCGCAGATGTTCTGGAGTTTCGACTTCCCCCCCCACTTCCCCTATCTTCCCATACGTCCTGGGGGATCGACGAGGCATTGCGTCTGTGTGTTTAGCCAAGATCGGCGCATGTGCAGAGTCCTCTTCGCCCGCCTCGGAACGGCGCCACCCGATCCTTAGGACCCCATCCCTCGGGACCCCATCTCTGTCGGGGAGACGCGAAGACTCGGGTTCGGGGGACTCGGGTTGGCCTGACGGGGCCATCATGAGAATGACGAGACCCAATCTGAAATTCGACGCGAGCTCCCGCTGCAAACATCCCACGAAAACTGGACCGTCAGAATCCACCACGCGCTCGCCGAGAAGCGCCGGCACACCCGAGTTCCGGCGTACTCGAGGCGCGCGTTGCCCCGAGCTTGAGCCAACGAAGGATGCCTACGCACAGAGGGGGGTAGGGTGAGGGGGGAAGGCTTCTTGAAGCACCCCTGCTTCCTAGAAGGCGCGGCCCGCGTCTGCAGACGCGAGGCCCTTGCCTTCAAATAAGCAGCCTCCTTCTAGGACGCCTTGCCCCCTCTCAGGAGAACCCAGAATCGAATCGACGAGTCGGAGCGGCGATCGAAATGAATCGGATCGGCGGAAATCGGCAGCCGAGTCCAGAGAAGTCGAATCGGCGGAAGTCGACAAGCTGGTAGGCCTCCAAACAGAGAACGGAACCCACATCAGAATCCGTAGTCGAAGCGGAATCGGCATCGGAAGCCATCGACACCGAGTCGAATCGAATCGGAGGAGTCGAAATCACCCATCCCCCCCCCTGTCTGCGCGTGGCCGATTAGACTTGTGGATGCCATGGCAGTGGACACTCTAACAGTCCTATCACTGAATTAAAGATGTGTTTGAAATGTGTAAACCATGTTCTAGGAATGTTTCGAGCATGCTTTTGTATACATAGTTTGAACATAGTTGAAACATCTTGAACATAGTTGAACATAGTGGAACATAGTTGAACATCGTTGAACATAGTTGAACATAGTTTGTATACACGGTTTGAACATTGTTGAAACATCTTTTAGACGTCTGGAAATTCTGTGGCAGCGTGCACGCGACCAGACCCCCCTCCGCACGCCCGCAGCCGGCGCCCGGCCTCGGCCCCCTCGGTCAGCACGTGGACCCTGCGCGGCCTCTTCGCGGCGGGGCTCGACGCCTGGGGGGAGGGCGGAGCGCCCGCCTGCTTCCCCTCCTCCAATCCCTCCTCCTCCTCCTCCACCTCCTCCTCCTCCTCCTCCTCCTCCTCCTCCTCCTCCTCTCCTCCCCCTCCCCTCCTCCTCCTCCTCCTCCTCCTCCTCCTCCTCCTCCTCCTCCTCCTCTTCCTCTTTCTCCTCCTCCTCCTCCTCCAGCCCACCCCTCCTCCCCCTCCCTCCCCATCTTTGGCCACATCACCAGACATCAGGCGAGCCGCAGCACCGTGCAGTCGAGCTCCTGGCACTGCCCTCGCTCACCCCTCGCCTCCCACCGTGGCAGCCTCCCGTGCCCCCCTCATAGGCAAACGATCTCTACATACACCGACGCTTTTCCCGACCCTGCGCGGAAATTCGCACAGAAACGCGGATTCTGGTGTATACGGGATCCTGGTGTATACATTTTTCGTTGTTTCCCTTGGAGAACGGGGGAAAAGTATACACCACACCATCCCGACGTCGTCCCTCCTGACCCTTAAAGAGCAATGACATTGAGAAAAAAAACGCCACTGGTAATGTCTATGTTCCAGTTTGCGACCTCCCCCACCCTGGGCGCCCCGCCTCCGGCTCCAGGGCGGTCACCGCCACGTCGCCGCCCTCGATCTCCTCTTCGGGGGGGGGGCGGGGCGGCAGGAGGCGACGCCCGCGAGGCCTTCGGAGAAGCCCTCCGGGGCTGCTCCGGGCGGCGCCGGCGGCTCCTCACGAGGCCGGCGGGCTCCCGAGGAGACACGCCAGCTTCCGAGAAGGCCCGCCCCCTCGGCCTATCCCCCGACCCCTTGGCTCCCCGCCGAGACTGGGAGGCGGCTCAGCCCTCAATGATGGGCATGTTTTCCACCACCACCACCATAAGTTGGAGGGGGAAGGGGTCATCCACCTCCTCCTCGTCCTCGTCCTCGTCCTCCTCGTCCTCCTCGTCCTCCTCCTCCTCCTCCTCCTCCTCCTCCTCCTCTTCGTCGTCGTCCTCCTCATCATCCAACTTATGGTGGTGGTGGTGGAAAACAGGCCCATCACTCAAGTCGCCTGCGCGCAGACAGCCGAGCATCGGGAGCAGGTGGGCTCTGTAGATTCCTGATTCTGTATGGATCTGCTCTCTCGGGGATTGATTTGTGAATCCTCTGGCGCGCTCTGGTCGTTACCCGGGCCAACCCTTCCAGACGTAACGGTAACGTGCGCATTCCCGGGGCCCCCAAAGTCCCCTCCCGAGGGTAACGACAGTTACCCGAAATCAGAACGACCAATCTCTAAGGGCGCCTGAGAATGCCTAAACATCAACTCTGCGGGATGACCCCATGATTAAGCCGGCTCAGGAAGAACCTCGGCGGAATTCAATGGAACTGTGCCAGATTAGGCCTGTTTGCGAACGCGCATCATGCCAGCGCCGATGCGGACTTGAACCTCCGCCGAGGCGAGGGGGGCAGGCCACGCGTGAGGTGGAGAAGTACGCTCGGGCGTGTCATGATACGACGTCGACGACGACGACGACCACCACCACGTACGACGGCGTGCCGCTCTGCGGGAGCGCCTGGCGGAGCGACCCCGGGCACCCGATGGATCAGGGAATTCGCGGCGCCGCGCCAGTGCACGCGCCACCCTTTGCCGCCTCCTCCCCCGCACATTCCAGTGAGAATGTGTCCCAGAGGAGGAGGAGGAGGAGGAGGAGGAGGAGGAGGAGGAGGAGGAGGAGGAGGAGGAGGAGGAGGAGGAGGAGGAGGGGAGGAGGAGGAGGAGGAGGAGGAGGGAGGAGGAGGAGGAGGAGGAGGAGGAGGGGGAGGAGGAGGAGGAGGAGGAGGGGGAGGAGGAGGAGGAGGAGCTCCCCTCCTGCCCCTCGCCGCCCGCGGCCTCTCCCCCGTGCCACGAGGCCTGCCTCGCGCCTGCATCTGCGCACGTGAGCTGTGTGGTCTTACCAGCCTCGAACGCATCCCGATCCCTAAGATGGACACGCCAAAAGGCGATGACAATCTTAGGGATCCGCCCCCAGAAGATAAGGGAATCCCTGAGATTGGCATCGTGATGAGGAGGTGCCCAGCATAGGGATAGGGATATGCTCCAGGCTGGTAATGGTAGGGCTTATGTTGTCCCGCCGGGCCTCTGGGCGTCGATGGCCCAGCGGATCCGACCTTCCCAGACAGAATCACGTTCCCCTTCGGGGGCGGGTTGTTTCTGTTTCCTGTCCCCTCCCTGCGCATCTGTACCGACGTGTCGCGAGGCACTGAAGCGTCCAAGATGGCCCACAGTGCTCTACATGGCTCCACACAGACCAAGATGGCCTCCAAGAGTTCACATCGCTGTGTCTCACACACACACCAAACGTTGTTGTACTGTTGTACCCTAGCGCGCCAGCGGGGCGCAATTTACGCATGTCGTGGTACGAAGGCGGGCTACGCTGAAGGCAAATCAAACACCTTGTGAGGAAGCGAAGCCGAAACTGTTGAGCCCAATGCAATCCAGCTGAATCGGCCGCTGGGCAGGAACAATCCGACGCGTGCAGGGTGAGCAAGAGGCCAAAACAAATATGTATGTTTTCCCACTGCGGTCGCCAACAACAGCTAAGACCTGCAACGCGATCTTGAATAGCCAACCTGCGCGGCCGACGGCGCTCGAGAGTGAAAGCGTACCCGAGGGGAGGGTGCATCAGAAACGAGCCATGCACGTGCAAGCAGAAATACTGAAGAAGACCGTTTAGATCTATCTTAGACCGAGGCGGACAACACACAAACACACACAGACACACAGACACGCAGACACTCACAGACACACACACACACACACTCACTGACGCAGGGCGAGCACAAAGGGTAAGTTTTGAACCACGTGTTCGCTTCGTGTGGGAAAGGGTTTGCGTTTTCCTTGTGCATCGAACCATCGAGGGGTCATGTCGTCCAACGCGCGAGGGAACTCATATTTCGCGATACTCACTCATATCATGAACGCCGGCATCATAATATGCGAGACCCGGAAAGCGAGGAGAAGAACATAATAAATGACAGTGGACCAGCTCGAGCTACCCACCTCGGCCAGTGCTCCGGCAACAACTCTACAGTTGCTGATAAGAATGACCGTTCGGCCCCCTCACTCTGATTACTACGACTCCTACTACGACCACTACTGGAACTTCGCCCACTACTACGACTAGAACTACAACTACTACTACGACGACGACTGCTACTACTATCAGAACTCCTGATATTACTACTTCTTCTTCTTCTACTTCTTCTACTACTACTACTACTACTACTACTATTACTACTGCTACTACTACTACTACTAGGACTACTTCTACTACTACTACTACTACTACTACTACTACTACTACTACTACTACTACTACTACTACTACTACTACTACTACTACTCTCACAACAAGTACTAGCACTAGTACTACTACAAGTACTACTAATATTACTACTACTACGACTACTAGTATTACTGCTGCTGCTACTACTACTACTACTACTAGTACTACTCATACTACTACGGTGGCGACGACTACCGCTACTATTCCTACTTCGAGTTACTACAGCTACTACTACTACTACTACTACTACTACTACTACTACTACGCCAACGACGACAATTACGACTACTACGACTACTGCTGCTACTACGTCTATTACGACTACGACTACTGCTACTACTACAACTACTGCTACGGCTACGACCTACGGCTACTACTACTACTACTACTACTACTACTACTACCACTACCACCACTACTACTACTACTACTACTACTGCTACTACTACTACTACTACTACTGCTACTACTACTACTACTACTACGACTACTACTACTACTACTACTACTACTACTACTACTAGTTCTACTACTACAGCGACTACGACTACGCCTACGACTAAGACGGCTACAACAACTACTACTACTACTACTACTAATACGACGACTACTACTACTGCTACTACTACTACTACTACTACTACTACTGCTAGTACTACTACGACCACCACTACCACTACGACTACGACGACTACGACTACGCTTACGGATACTACTACTACTACTACTACTACTACTACTTCTACTACTACTACTACTACTACTACTAATACGACTACTACTACTACCACTACTGCTACTACTGCAACTACTACTACTACGACTACGACTACGACTACGCCTACTACTACTACTACTATTCCGACTACAACTGGATATAGTGTGTCTACTACTACTACTACTAGTACTGGTACTAAGATTACTACTACTACTACTACTACTGCTACTACTACTACTACTACTACTACTACGACTACGACTACGACTGCGACTACTACTACTGATATTACTATTACTGCTACTGTGACGACTGCCAATGCTACCCCTACTTCTACCACTGCGACAAAGGCGACTACTACTGCTACAAGTACGACATCGGATTACCCCTCCTACTACTACTACTACTACGACGACTACTACTACTAATACTGCGACTAGTACGACCACTACTACGACTACTACGACTACTACGGCTACTACGGCTACTACGGCTACGGCTACTACTACTACTACCACTTTTAGTGGTAGTAGTCGTAGTCGTACTACTACTACTACTACTACTACTACTACTACTACTACTACGACTACTACGGCTACGACTACAATTACGACGACTCCTACTACTACTGCTGAGACTACTGCTACGACTACGACTTACTACTACTACTACTACTACTACTACTACTACTACTACTACTCCTTCGACTATGACAACGGCTACGCCGACTACTACTACGACCACTAATACTACGACTACGGCTGCGACTACAACTACGACTACGCCTACTACTACTACTACTACGACTACTACTACTTCTACGACTACAACTACCAATACGGTTTTGGCTACTACTACTACTACTGCTACTACTAGTACGATGGTGATTACTACGGGTACTGCCACTGCAACTACGACTAACACTAGCACGACTGCAAGTACTAATACTACTACTACTACTACTACTACTACTACTACTACTACTACTACTATTACTGCTACTACTACTACTACTACTACTACTACTACTACTACTACGACTGCTACTACTACCACTACTAATACTACTATTACTACTACGACTGCTGTTATCACTTCTCCTATTACAAACTCTACTACTACTACTACTATTTTTACTACTACTACTACTACTACTACTAGTCCTACTCCGACTCCTACTACTACTACTACTACTACTACTACTACTACTACTACTACTACTACTACTATTACTACTGCTACTACTACTACTACTAGCACTACGACAACGACGACCACGACTGCTAATAGTACTACTTCGACTTACTACTACGATTACTGCTAGTAGTACTACTACGACTACTGCGCCCACTACGGCTACGCCGACTACCTCGACCACTTCTACGACTAGTACTACTTCTGTTACTGCTACCACCACTACTATTACTACTACTACTACTACGACTACTACTACTGATATTACTATTACTGCTACTGTGACGACTGCCAATGCTACCCCTACTTCTACCACTGCGACAAAGGCGACTACTACTGCTACAAGTACTACTTCGGATTACCCCTCCTACTACTACTACTACTACTACTACTACGACG